GGCGCCGCTACCCCCCAGCCGGTGGGAGGCTGGCGCGAGTGGAGGCCGGCGGGAGGCTGGTTCCTGCTCCCAGACGCGGTTTTCCTTGGCTGGCCGCCAGCTTTGTGCCCGGCAAATTGATCGTTTCCTCCCGCAGCAGCGACGCTGGCCCCGTGCGTGCCAGTGTCTCCCGCCGCGGGCGCCCTGGCGCGCATGGAGGCTCGCGCCGCCGCCACCGGCTTCCTCCGTGCCACCTCCTCCTCCTCCTCCTCCGCCTCAGTCCCAGCTGTGCATAACTGTCAAACTCAGCCCAGCTGTGATGGCTGCAGCCCCGGCAGCACCCTGGGCTCCGCACGTGCCCCGAGGATGCAGGAGGCGCCGGGGACAGCAGGAAGGAGCTCAACGGGAATAGGGAGGGCGCGGAGCCTGAGGCCGACACGAGTCGCGGCGCTGCCTCCACATGTGCCCTTGCTCCAGCGTTCCCGCCTGGCCGGCCTCCGCTCCTCCGAGAACGCGAAACGGTCCTCCGTGTCCATGTCCGTGTCCTTATTTATATCCCCGCGGCAGTGCCACAGGTGGGCGGTTGTTCCAGCTGACAGCCCCCAAGGCGAAGGCACCGCATGGAACTTCCTGCTGTTGAGCCGGCGGCGGCGGCGGGAGCTCAGGAAGTGGCTCCGGAGGCGCTGCCCGCACCGGGCCGGCCGCTGTCTCGTGCCGGAGCTGATGCTCTCGGCTCCTGCGTCTGTTGTTTTGGGGAAGGAAACGAGCGGATCAAGGCAGCCCTGTGGCACCTTGGAAGGGCCAGGCAGGCCCAGGGGCTTCCTGCTTGGTCTGGGCTTTGTCACCAGCACCAAACCAGGGACCCCCGCTGCTCACACAGCCTTGGAACCCCAGGCTTGTCTTGGCTGTGCCCTCAGCAGCCTGTGCGCGAGGAGCACGGCCCGAGGTGATGCCTTCCCGACACACAAGGAGCTGGGGCCCTTCTGCACCCTCCTGTTCCCTCCTGTTCCCTCCTGTGCCCTCCTGCCCCATCCTGTTCCCTCCGGTGCCCTCTGGTGCCCTCCTGCACCCTCCTGGGCCCTCCTGAGCCCTCCTGTTCCCTCCTGAGCCATCCTGTGCCCTGCTGCACTTTCCTGCGCCCTCCTGTTCCCTCCTGTGCCCTCCTGCACCCTCCTGGACCTCCTGCACCCTCCTGCACTCTCCCGGGCCTCCTGTTCCCTCTTGTTCCCTCCTGCCCCATCCTGTGCCCTCCTGCGCCCTCCTGTTCCCGCCTGCCCCATCCCGCGCCCTCCTACGGCTGGTTGTGCTGGGCCGCGTGGGGCTGAGCCCATCGTCCATCTCAAACACTGGTTGCCCTCGGCCTGTGATGGGCTCTTGGCCGCCGTCAGCGCCCTTGGGAGCAACCTGACCGGGCTGCAGAGGCGGCTCCGTCACCCGCGGCGCCCGCGGCTCCCCAGCAAGGGCCGCGCGGCGCTCTTCCCAACCCGCCGGTCATGCCCGTGCAAATCCCAGGGCCGCCTGCCGCTCCCGTGAGCCAGGAGGGCTCGGGGTGCCGGCACCAAAGGCGCCTGTGTCCCCTATGTCCCCCCGCAGGGAAGGCACACACTGTCCGCGATGCCGTCCAGCCCCGGGAGCCGGGACCTGCGCAGCTAGGCCATTTTACAGCAGAAAGCGATTAACCCAAGAAAGCCCTTTCTAACATCCAGTAATTAAAAGCAGTCCCTCCTCCTTGTTTGCCTTTTAAGCCCCAAGTTGCTGCGGGCTCATTTGCTTTACAAAGTGGGCCTTGTTGTGGCTGCGGAAGAAACGAAAGTTTGAAGTGGTTAGAGAAGAAAGGCTCCAGGGCGGCCGCGTTCCCGGGCCGGGCCCCTCCAGCCCGGCCTGTTTGTATTTGCTCTTGTCTCCTCCCGGGATCACTAAACACACATTTAACAAGTGCCCCGACTGTCTCGCAGGCTCCCAGGGCTCCGGGAGGAGGCCGGGCCCATTAGCATCGCTGGGGGACGGGGAGGGCGCCGAGGGCCTTGGGAAGGGCTGCTGTTTTGGGCCCGAGCGAGGGAAGGGCTCCGGGCCAAGGCGCACACAAAGCCTTTGTGTTCTCCAAACCCGGGGAGCGGCCCCGGGGCTGGGCTGCAGCACGGGGTGGGTTTTCCCATCGTGCGGGGTGGGTTTTCCCATCCCGCTGGGATGTGGGTTTTACCATCCCGCCGCGGGTTGCGGCGCAGCCTCCGCGCCCGGCCCCTTGGGACACTGACCCAGTGGCGGCCCCGGGCACGGAGCAGCCGCGGTGGGAAGGACCCACGCGCTGCCCTGTCCCCGCCTGGGCAAGGCCGAGCCCGTGGGTTTGGGGGGAAAACACTGGTTTTGCTCTCCCGTGGGCATTGCCGGCTCTGCCGCGTGGGCTGGGGTAGCAGGGGGAGCCGGGGCTCGCCGGGCTTGGAGCGCTTCCGAGAGCCCAGCCGCGGGTTCGGATACCGCCGGCTGCGCCGTGCAGACGGGCCCGCCGGGCACGCACGGAGTTACGGCCGAGGTGTCAGGTCACCGGGAGGTAATGGAGCTGGAGCCCTCCCTGCTGCCTCCCGCTTTCCAGAGGCGCTGCCTCCCTCCCACATTCCGGCTGCTGCAGCCACTCACAGCTGGCCGCTCTCCGGGGAGGATTCCCAGAGCCGGGATGGAGGGAAGGCAGCAAGACCCTGCTCCTGCTGGAATCCTTCCCCGACGGAGAGGGCTGGCACAGGCAGACTGGGCAACTCCTGGCAGGGATCCACCCTCCGCCCTGGCATTGCGGAGCTTTCCCTGCTGCCACGGAGGGACGTGAATCTTTGGGAGCTCATTTATTATTTATTTGAGAGCTCATTTAGGCCAAAGTGGGGAAGCCAACTGGCGCCGGGAGCCGGCCTGGCCTCGTCCTCGTGCCACTGCAAAGGGCTCCCGCCGCGTGGGGACGTGGCCACAGCCCTCGATGGCCTCGTGGCACCCCGGCTTCCACGGCACATTCCCTCCCGGACCGGGGAGCCGAGCTCCGGGACCCAAAAGTGGGTGCATGGATGGGGGCTCCCCGCTAAGTGGATAACGAGAGACGTTTCCTCTGCTAAGTCCCCTTGCTCGGCCCAACAATCCCGGCAGTGCCGGGGGAAGAGCAGAGGGCAGAGGCTGCGCATCTCCATGCCCGGCTCCAGGCTTGGGGCCTCAGGGGCTTATCCAGCTGGTCCCGAGCACTGGGAGTGGGAAAGCGGGAAGGACGAGCCCGATTTCTGCACCTGGTTGCCCCATCCCTACACTAATTCCCTTTAACCCCCCCTTGCCAACCCGCATGGCCTCTGTCCGCAGCCCCGGCTCGGCCCTGGCCTCGCTGAGCGCCGCTGGAAACGGCTCTCCAGGAGCACGGGCTGGAAAATGGATCTGGTTACAGGAGAAGCGGGATTGTGGGCCCCCGCTCTGCTCCTAATGAAGTGTAATCCTAGAAAAACATGTTGCCAATTACACTTCAATTGAACCCAGATAATGATGCTTAGATGAGGCCCAGAAAAGCCGGAGTCTGGACGGTGAATTCCTTTCTAATGGAGAAGAAAAGTGCTCCTCGGTGGCAGGTCTGGGCTCCGCTCTCTTCAGGCTCGAGCAAGAGCCTGAAATAGCCGATCTCTGGATCCCATTTAACTGGTTTTATCAGTGGAAAAAGTATTAATCTCTCAAAAACACATATTTATGGGAAGCTTGGTTTGGAGATACACATACGTACATGCATTGAAAGGAAGGAGGAGACTCCAAAGGGCCAGAATAATATGTTTCTAATTTTTCTGTTTAAAGGAGGCTTTTACTTCTGACATGTAAACTAATAACAGCTTGGCTTTAACGGTAAAATCAGAGGAAAGCATCAAAATTACGGAAGCAAATGCTGCAGCCTGAAATGGGTGTGTTTTTCTCAATTTTGGGGGGTTTATGAGCACTCTGAAGCCATCGGTTTTCCACCTCGGCACCGTCCGGGAAGGACAGAGCTGCTCAGTGCCGAGGAAAGCGCCCGGCTCTGCGCCGGTGCCCAGGGCACCGGGTGGGCTCCCTCGGGAGTGGCTTCCAGGTCGTTACCGCCGCCTCGCTAAAGGCTCTGGGAAGCCTTCGGGAATGCCGTGTTGCAGCCGGATCTCTGCGCCGCTGCCTTCCCTTTTCTTCCTCTCCCTCTCTGAATCCAAGGGTGTCACTTCTGTGCCTCTCCTCCCCTCCATGCACACGTTTTTGGTGCCCTTGGGGATTTTAGCTGCTCTGGGCTCTAACCAACAGCCCCCTTCCCTGCAGACTGGCAGCTGGGAATGCTCCTTGGATGCTGAGATTGGATTGGGGTGGGAGTACCAAAGTTTCCAGCCTTACCCTAGGAGGCTGAAAACAACAACCCCGGTCGGGGTTAGAAAACCCCAAGTCGGGTTTGGGCGGGTTCATTTTGCAGGGCAGGTCCCGCTGCGGGCACCCGAGGGGGGGACAAGGTGCCGGGGCCACCCCCGTGGCCGAGACCCTGGGTGCGACCCGGCGTCCCCGCGCGCGGTGGCAGCAGCGGCGGTGGCGTCAGGCGGCCGTGCGTGTGTGTGTGTGGGGCTGCCTGTTGATTTTTCCCGGGAACAAGCGCGCGCTTTATCAGCCCCATCGCTTTCCCACGGTTTTGTGTTGCCAGGGAGGTCACCGGTCCCTTTAAACCGGGGCCGAGGCCAAGCCGCGGCGGGCGGGGAGGGGGGGCCGCGGGCCGGGGGGGCCGCGGGGGGCCCGGGGCCGCCTCGCACAGACGGTTCCTTTTACAGGAAGACTTTGGAGCGGCGCGGGGGGGGCCTGGGAACCTGGGAAGGGCCGCGTAATCCCTGGCTCCCGGGAGATGCCTCATTAACCCATTAGCCGCGGAGGCTGCAGACGGGCCGGGGGGTGGGTAGGGGAGGAGCCGGGCCGGGCCGGGCCGGGCCGGGGCCACTCGTGCGCAGCCCGTGGCGGGGAGCGCGCGTGTCCCGCGCTCGTGGCCGCGCGTGGCGCAGCCGCCGCCGAGGATGAAGCGCCTGTGCGAGGAGAGCTGCTCGGACACCGAGTCGGACGGCACCATCGACGTGGGCAAGGAGGAGGAGTACGGGTGAGGGCACGGCGACACCGCGGCCCCGGTCCCCAGCAGCGCCGCTGTCCCCAGCGCCCGGCGCGCTGCGGAGCGGCCGCGCGTGGGTCCCCGGCTGCCACTCGGGGGTCGCCGAAGCCGCCCGGGCTGCGCGCGCCGCCTTCCCGCGGGGAAAAGCGCCTCGGAAGCCACGGGGCGACCCCGGCCGGCGCGGCGTGACAAGCGGGTCGCGTCCCAGGGGACGCCACGGGGAAGCTCCCCCGTTTTCCCCGCAGGAAAAGCCGGAATTGGCTTTTCCTGCCCTGCATGGACAGCGGAGGGGCTGATCCTGGCTCGCAGGGTCTCTGTGCCCCCCGCTCCTCCCCACATACGATGCCCTCCCTCCCAGCAAACGCATCCATCAGCTGCCTGTGTGCAGCTGCAGTCCAAGGGATCCAGAGGCTCCCAGGGAATGTGGAAGGAGCAGGGAGGTTTTGCAGGAGGAACGTGGCTCCTCTGCGGGCGTGTTTGCACCGCACGGGCTGGGGCTGTGATCTGCAGGGAAAAAGCAGCCAGGGAAGGGTGCCCTGCTTCCCGCAGGGCTTTCCAGGCACGCAGCCCCATCCCGGCGGGATGCGGAGCAGGGGCTCCTCCAGGCTCCGCTGCTCGGGGCTGCGGCAAGGAAGGGCCAGCGGAGTGGCCGCCCCGGTGCTCCATGTGCCTCGGCTCCGGGCAAAGGGCATCCTGGGCGCTCCCCGTGCTCCAAGTGCACGGACAGCACTGCAAAAGGCTCCGGGATTTGTCCCCTTCCAAAAATCCGCTGCTTTGGAACTCTGCTTTCGGCAGCGGGCTGTCCCCGCTCCGTGTGCACCCAGCAAGGTCCCGTGTGGGTTATTCCCTGTGGCTGCTCGGGCTCCCCAACAGTGGAATCGCCCTGCTCGGTGCCAGGCTCGCGGCACTAAAGCCACGAACCGACCTGCACCCACATGGCATGTGGGGCCCGAACCCCCTTGCCCCTAACGCTGCTGATATTTCACTCATCTTCACACCCATGTGAAATGTAAGAAAAATACGTGACATATGTGAAAAGGATATTAAATATGTGACAAGTAGGAATAGGTGACAAAAATGTCCACATCTCAAGGATGCAACCTCAGCGGAGCGTCCTGAGTTTGCAGGAGCCCAGGGGAACAGAGGAACTGTTGTAATACTGCATTTCAGGGAATGGCTATGATACTTTTTTGATCACTCTGATACTGCTAAGAAGTGCACAGTCCAGAGAACAATATTATAAAATTCAAGCCAAGAGAAATGCAGAGTTGTTGCTCATTGCAGGGTTTAGATGCAGGGCGGCCGCCACGACTCCCCTCTGCCAGTCAAACACGGTCTGAAAACGCGGATTGCGGGAAGCCTGGGGGGTTCTCCCAGCAGCGGGTGGCAGTTCCGTACGGAGCGTTCCGGCTATTGCAGCCTCCTGGGATGCACTGCAGCAGGGCAGCCCTGCCGGGAGGCTCCATAGGGAGCCTGTTATTCCCTCCACTTTTATGGGAAGCTGCTCTGGAAGTGCCTCGCTTGGGCCGAGCAAAGTGCGTTTTTCCTGGGATTTTCCCACGGCCGCTTGTCCGTCCTTGCGGCAGCTTGGGCTCCTCGGGGGGCCGAGCTCTGCCTCCCCTCGCGCCTTCCATGGGGGTCTTTGGTGTCCATGGCTTCACCCTGCCCTGGAGTGCGGGATGGTTCCAGGGCTCTTGCCCTCCTCAGCCCAAGGTCCCCAGAGCCACCGGCCCCATGGGATGCTCGGGAGAGGAGGTCTCCCACTCGGAGAGGTCTCCGCTCAGCTCCCGGTTATCAAAACCCCGTTATCCCAGGGGGTGAAACCCGCAGCGGCGCGCGGAGCCCCCGCGCCCACCGCCCGCTCTTCCCTTGCAGCCCCGTGTCCCGCGCCGTGTCGCCCACGACGAGCTCTCAGATCCAGGCCAGGAAGAAGCGGCGCGGGGTGAGTGTCGGAGCGGGGCGGCCGCGCCGGGGCGCGCGGGACGGGCCGTGAAGTGACGGCGCTTTCTCCTCGGCAGATCATCGAGAAGCGCCGCCGCGACCGCATCAACAGCAGCCTCTCGGAGCTGCGGCGCCTCGTGCCCACGGCCTTCGAGAAGCAGGTGGGTGCAGCACCCGCCACCAGCCAGATCGCACCTTTTTCTTCCTCTTGAGTGGCCCAAAAAGCTCCAAAAACAGCTCCCACCCACGCAAAGCCAAAAAGGAGCCATTGCCCCTTTGCATTCGCTATCGGTTTGCAAATGTGTGTGTTTTTGCCCTGCTGCAGCACATAGGGCTTTATTCCAGAGTCCTCTCCGAGCTGCTTTACTGGCTTCTGCTTCCCCAAATTCCCCCCCAACCATGTGCAGGGAAAAAATGATTCTTCAGTGTTGACAGTACAAAAGGGCTGCTGTGATTTCCACTTATCTCCCCACGCTGGCTGCGTTTCAGCAGTGGAAGGAGGGGTAGAGCTCTCGGAATTAAAAAGTCTGCAGCAATTTTATGTTTTCTTTATCATTATTGCTCCAGGAAGTAGGTAGATGGTAGAATTGGGTGGTAAAAATATATATATATTAACAAATAATATTCAGGAGCCCTAGGGAGTGTGAACCCAGGGTAGACAATGTTTTGAAGTGAGGAAGATGCAGGAAGATGGTTTTGAAGCGCGGAAATGGGGATTTGCAATTTGCATTGGGGGAGCTTGGGAAGGAGCAGAGCTGTCTGCTCCAGGAGCCCGTGTCTCCATCCAGGCATTCCCGCGCTCCAGGGAGGGATTGCGGAGGGGGATACTGGGCAAAACCCTCCTGCAGGATATGAAACGTAAGCTGTGAAATGCCGGATTGCTCTTTTCTTCCCCGCTTCCCACACGCAGGGCTCTTCCAAGCTGGAGAAGGCAGAAATCCTGCAAATGACAGTGGATCACCTGAAGATGCTTCACGCCACGGGAGGAGCAGGTAGGAGCTCCTCTTTTAAACGCATGTGTGAGCTCAGGGCGCGATCCTGAAGGGAAAAAAAGTCCCCAGGGAACTGCTCAAAACAGCAAGGAATATCTCAGGGCTGGTGGGCCCTGCTGGCTCCAGCCATCCCTACAATGAATGTTGCTTTGGAAGGGAAACCCTTCTCCCGGGGACGGACGCTCACTTCCAGGGCCACATCCCTGGCACCGTGGAGGGTGACAGGGCCCTGTGTGACAGTGCTGGGAGCAGGGACAGCACCACGGCCCATGGAAAGCTGCCCACAGGGACACGCTTAGTCGCGCTCAGCAATGGGGGCTGCTTCTGGAAAATCCGTGTTAAACTCTTCACCTCCTCCCCGGGATACATTCCCTGCACAGGCCAAATTCTGCAAATAAACAAGGCTTTTTCTTCGCCCTTTCTCTTCTTTTTTTTTTAATTTTTTTTTTTGGTCTCTGGGTTGTTATGAGAGGAGAGAGGGAGCCCTGTGCAAAGCTCCACAAAGGTCCCGTTTGTGCTGAGACCTCAGCACAGCCCTGTCCTGTTCCAGTTAACAGGATGGAGCTCACAGCCCCGCTAAGGAAGCCTCAGGCTTTGCTCGCCGCCCGGGTTGGGTTTGCTGGGGACATTGCTGGCACCCAGATCTGCCTCCGGAGTCCTAACTTGGTCTGGGACATTTGTTTAGACGTTCGGTTTGACTGCACCGTGACAAAGGGCCATATTGTCACACGGGACCCGTCACGGGCACCCCGTCGCTCTGCTCTCCCATTCTCTGCTCTCTTGCTTTGTGTCTCATGAAGCTACGAGCAGGAGCTCGTAGCTCGTAGCTAAGAAAATCAGCCGGGGCTTGCACTTGGTCTCCTTAGGGATTTTGTTTTTTCCCTTCTCATGTTGTGGCTTGGAGCTTTCTCAGCCCTGGTGCATCCGCTTAAATGGAGTGTAAAGGACTGGGAGTGGGAGCCAGGCACAGGAGGAGGGTGCTCAGCCGCACGGAGCCGCTGCCCATCCCGCCCCCGTCCCGCTTCCCGCAGCTCTAACCGGGAAACTCCAATCCCTGCCTTCCCAGGCCTGGTTAATGAAGACTCTTGCTCATCCCGCCTGCTGGAGCAGGAGGCTCCCTGTCCCTGGAGCTTTGATCCTAGTGACACAGCCACAGAGGCTCATGCACCTCAACGTCCTGCTTGGGGAATATCCTAGGGTGGCCACTAGAGAGGGCAGCGAAATCCGACGCGTCCCGCGCTCACCATCACCCGTGTCCCTTCCCTACAGGCTTCCTGGACGCCCGGGCTCTGGCTGTGGATTACAGGAGCATCGGCTTCCGCGAATGTCTCACCGAGGTTGTCCGGTACCTGGGCATCCTCGAGGGACAAAACACAGCCGACCCCATCCGCCTGCGCCTCCTCTCGCACCTCAACAACTACGTGGCGGAGATGGAGCCTTCCCCCGCGGCCGCTTCCCTGCTGCCCGTGCCGGCCTGGCCGTGGGCCTTGTTCCACGGAGCAGCCGGTCCCGTGCACGTGGCCAGGAGGGAGGCGGCGCCGCTGCTTGTGACTGCATCGTCCTTGGCGCCCGCGGGCGCCGGCGCGCGGCCGGCCGCCCTGCGCCGCGCGCCCGTGGACGGGGCCGCGTCCCGCCGCGGCGCCCTGCCCGCCCGCGTGGCCTCCTCCGGCCGCAGGGCCCGCGCCGCAGCCGCCGCCGTGCCCGGGATGCCGGCGCCGATGGGAGTCTCCAGGGAGGGATCTGCCAAGAGCGGCCCGGTCGCCGCGTTGCTCTTCTTGCCGGCTGGTGCCGCTGTCCCGCCGGCCTACGCGGCGCCTCCGGCCGCGCGGGGACCCACCGGCAGGGTTGGGACATCCAGGATCTGCCGCTCCTGGGCTACCGAAATCGGGGCTTTCTGAGCCTCCGCTTCCCTTGGGAGACAGAACATCTCCAGCTGCCCGCCGGCCTGGGAAGCGGCCCAGCTGAGAAGGCGCCTTTCCCGCTTCGCACGAGTCCAGGACCCAACAAGAAGACCCTCCTCACTCTTCCTCGCGCTCTCGCGCTGCCTTCCTCCCCTCGCCATCCCTCCTCCTCCCCCTCGCCCGTGTAAACCCCCCCCCACTTCACTCCATTCCCTGCACACAGCTGCATTCGAGGCCTTCCCAGCTCCATGGGACGGGAGCCCCCTATCCCAAACCCTTCCCTCCTTCACAAAACCCAGCCTTGCTCCTCCTTGGAAAACACCAGCCAGCTCCGTGACTGCGTCGGATTCCCGTGGAGACTCGGAGCCTGCAGACGGACACTCGCTGGCGCTTGACCCTTGGGATGTGGGTTTGGGAATGGCGATGCAGTTTGAATCCCACCGGGTTCCTGGCACCCAGCGAGGCGGAATGGGGCCTCCCTGCTGCTCCCCCTGCTTTGTGCTGCTCTTCCCAGCTCTGCTTACGGGCCCTGGAGCTGGGAATGGGCTTTAACAGAGGGAGCTGCTGTATCCAAGCAAGCGAAGCAGGCAAGACACAAGATCCGAAGGGACCACGTCGGGGAAGGCTCTGGGAGAGCAGGAAGAGGAGGGATGTCCCTCTCGCCCGCGTGGCCAAGGAGAGGAGCAGGTGGCAGCGCCCAGCAGCCCGGCGCCCCTGCGCTCCGTTTCTCTTCCTCGGGCTCCGTGTTTCGGTCTCGCGCTCCTCTCCCTGGGTCACATCCCGCTGACGTTGGGCCCTGGCAGGCGCCCGCTTGTCCCTGATCCCGAGGGCACCTCCGTGCCCGTCCCTGCAGCTGAGCGAAGGGAGCGCAAAGGCCTCAAGGTGCCAGGATGGGGCGTCCCGCTGCTCCTCCTCCTCATCCAACCCCAAGAACCCCCCTGGATCTGGGCTTTTATTTGCTGGGACAAATGCGGAGCAGCCCTGTCGCGCACCCACCCCAAGGAATCTCGGCCCCCTCAGCAGTGGCGCTGTGACTGAGAGAAAAGCAGGGAAAGGGCAGCGGGGAGGAAGGTGAAGAAGAGGGAGAAGCTTCTCCCGCGGCTGGCGCAGAGGCTCTGCCAGCCCCGGCAGCAGTGACGGATATATCCGCGGGGGTCACCTGCACCCACGGGCGCCTCGTCACCCATGGGTGCCTCCCCTGCACGTCCCGCGCGGGAGCAGCCCCTTCCCATTCCACATTCCCGTTTCCCAAGGTCACAGGGAAGGGGCTGCATACTGGAGCTCATGGCAATAGCCCGGCCTCGCCATGGCGGCATCCAGCAAAGCTGTCAAATAAAGCCTTGCAACCCCTCGGCGTGGCTCTCAAATGCACTGCCGGGCCGAGGCCGTTTCGCTGGACACGACCCAGCCCGGCCTGCTTCCACGAACACGAGTTCTGCAGCAGATAGGAGTTCACTGACAAAAAGGCTTCAATTATGGTAGGTAGGATTAAGGTCGTGAGATAACATCCCTGATGGTCCTTTTGGAGCTACTGTTCTCTGTAACTCTAGTCCCCTGTTTATTATTTTATTTTATTTTATTTTATCTATTCTATTCTATTCTATTCTATTCTATTCTATTCTATAATTCTATTTTATTTTATTTTATTTTCAAGAATGGCAGGTAGGATAAAGCTTGTGAGATAACATCCCTGATGGTTGTTTTGGAGCTCTGTAACTCTGGTCCCATGTTTTATTTTATTTTATTTTACTTTACTTTACTTTATTTTTATTTATTTTACTTTATTTACTGTTGCACTTGTCAAAATGAGTCGGCTCAAAATCAGCTGAGAGCAAACCGCTTCAGTTACCGATGGCCACAAACGTGTCGGGGAATTAATCAGAGCAGAGCCGTATCCCCAGGGGTTTGCCGAGGCCTCCGGAATAACCCCTGCTGCTTCTTCCTGTTGGAAAACCCTTTGGATTCAACAAAGAGCGACAGCTGAGAACTTGTCTGTGCTTTGAGGACAGGACCGGTAAACGATACTGTAGTGAAAGACGCTGGGAGGATTTTCAGGGGGAACAGTGGGAATTTGACTTCCTTTCCCATCGCTCCTTTTCATGCCAAAAACGCCTTTCCAAACCACCCGTAAATCCCCGCCTTAAGTCCTGTGCTGGGAACTGCTGGAAAGGAGCAACCGCAGCTGCGAGGGAGCAATGTGGAGCAAGGCTGGGAGCGAAGAGCATCTCCCAGAGCAATAAAGGGGCTATTGAGGGCGGCTCATCCCGCCGGGGCCTCCGCTGCTCCGGGGCCTCTGCCGCTCCCGAGCCGTCTGGAAGCCTTGGGAGGAGCTCGGGGCTCTCGTGTGGAGCACCAAAACTCCCCGTTCGTGGGAGGCAAGCAAACAACCCAGCCCCGCAGGCTCCAGCGGTGAAATAAAACCGAGGCGGCAAATAAAACAACCCCGCTTCCTGATCCGGGCTGATCAAACGGGAGCTGGCAGGAGCATCGGCTCAGCCCCATGCGCTTTTCTCCCCACGGCCACCCAGTGGTTAGCGCAGCAGCCCGGGACCGGAGCTTCCCTTTTTTTCCCAGGGTTTTCCGGAGCCTCAGCCTCTTTTATAACCCATCCCGGCAAGGTTTGGATCTGCTCCGTCGGGGAAATCCCCGGCCTCCCCATGCGCTCGCCTCATCCTCATTCCTCGGGCGCGAGCGTGGAGGACAGGGCCCGTGGGAACGCGTGGGCTGCGCTCGGTCCACCCGGAGCCCCGGCGGCGCGAAACGGCATCCAGATTCACGAGCCCCGTCCTGCTCCCAAGGGAGCAAACCGCTTCCACGTGGAGTGGGAAGATTTGTTATGGAGCAGGTGCTGCAGCGTGAGCAAGCCCCGCTCTCCCAAATCCCCCTGCATGAAAACAGTCGTTTTTCCGGGTTGCCCTGTTGTTTTGGATCAAACAATCTTTACATTCGCACTCCTGGCTGGTTTTTTTTCGCTTGTGGTGCAATCCCGGCCTGCCACCTACTGGTAACATTCCCAAACTAGGGAGACTGGGAAGGACTGGGAAGGACTGAGGTCCTGGAGGAGCAGGTGACACATGTGTCACTAACTATGATTCTAATAAAAGCAGGAGGGAGGTTTACGTGGAAACATGGTCCTCAAATCCGGCTGCGTTTTGACTCACAACTGCCCCAAAAGGGGCACCCTCCAAGGAAAGCCCCCTTATTGACCGGGCTTCCCCTCAGCTCGGGACCGGGAATAGGGCGGTGGAAAATCAAACTTTGGCAGGAGAGCTCGGGGCTCCCCGCAGGGGATGGGGGGACGCGAGGAGGCGGATTGGGGTGCGTGGGTGCCGTGGTCGCCATGTCGCCGCCTCAGCACCAGGCCCGGGCGCCGTGGCTGCCATGTGGCCGCCTCAGTACCGGGCCTGGGTGCTGCGGCCGCCATGTGGCCGCCACAGTACCGGGCCCGAGCGCCGTGGTCGCCATGTCGCCGCGTCAGCCCCAGGCCCGGGCGCCGTGGCCGCCATGTCGCCGCGTCAGCCCCAGGCCCGAGCGCCGTGGTCGCCATGTCGCCGCCTCAGTATCGGGCCCGGGCGGCATGGCCGCCATGTCGCCGCCTCAGTATCGGGCCCGGGCGGCATGGCCGCCATGTCGCCGCCTCAGCCCCGGGCCCGGGGGGCCGCGGCCGCCATGTCGCCTGCTCGGCGCCGGCGCGGGGCAGCGCCAAAATGGCGGGGGCGGCAGCAGAGGAAGGTGGCGGCATTGCCCTTCCCGCCCTCCTCCTCCTCCGCCGCCGCCGCCTCGGCCCGGTGGGTCCTCCCCCCCGGCTGGCGTCGCTGCAGCGGGGGTCGCTCCGGGCCGCGGCCGCCGCCTCCTCCGCCGGCCCCGCGGCCGCCTATAAAGGGGCGCCCGCCGCGCGCGGCCGCCTCTCTGCGCGGCAGCCGGGCCCAGCGCCGCCGCCGCCGCCACCCCGGGGCCCGCAGCGCGATCCCGGCGCCGCCGCCGCCTGCACGGGGGCAGGGAGCGCCGGGCGAGGGCGGCCCCGGCCCGGCCTCCTGCAGCCGCAAGCCCCTCACGGGCCTGGGCAGCGTCTGCTCTGCACCCGTGTGTCCCAACGGAGGAAACTGCCTCTCCGCAGGTTAATACTAGTGCAGGGAGATTTAATTTCCCCAGTTTTCTTCCTTTTTTTTTTATTATTATTATTGTTTCTTTTAAATCTCCTCAAGTGGCTTTGGGTCTGGAGTCGTCGGGGATAGATTGTGAAAAGGGGTGGCAAAGTAAGGGAAATGTTTTTAAGGTGACTGGGACGTGGTCTTGTCCCGGAGCCGAAGGGGGAAGCACTCCAGTGACACGGGGTGGCTTTGGGGTTTGGCTTGACTTACGAGCGCTGGTTTTGGGGGGAAAAGTCTAACTTTGCCTTTTGTCCTTTTCCAGGTCTCTCATTCCCAGGCCCCAGTGTCACCACTGTCCCTCCCTTGTGTCCAAGGAGTTTTCCAGCAGCAGGTTACGCTTCCCCCTGATCTAACCCCCCCCCCCCAAAAGCTCTGTGTGAAACTCCCGTCCCCCAAAGCGACCCGCAGCCCGCGGGGCGGGCCCAAGATGAACGCGGCGGGCGGCAGCTACCCCATGGCATCGCTCTACGTGGGCGACCTGCACCCCGATGTCACCGAGGCGATGCTCTACGAGAAGTTCAGCCCCGCGGGGCCCGTACTCTCCATCCGCGTCTGCAGGGACATGATCACCCGCCGCTCCCTGGGCTATGCCTACGTCAACTTCCAGCAGCCTGCAGACGGTAAGTGAGACCTGCGGCTGCATCCATGGCTTTTTCTTTCCTTTTTTTTTTACACCCTTACCAACCCATTCTTTGCTGTTTGTGTGTCCTACCAAGTACCTTTGCAGTTACAGTGTAAGGAACCACTTGCAGTTGCAAAACTAGAACATTTGCTGCTCCAAAATAGTTTATGGGCACTTTAGTAGTATATTTCACAGACAGGATTGTCTTTTTTTCTCACTGAAAACTTTGAACACTTTGTTCTGATTCAAACAAGGGAATAATCATCCTACCCCATTTTGTTCCTGTGTGGGTTTAGGCCATCCACGTGGTTCTCCATGCTATCAGTCCTGACAGGAAAGCTTCACAGGAGTCAGCTCTGATCAAACATTCCATTAACTATCTTTGATAACCCACCCCTATAATTTAAGATGGAGATATAGGCTGCAGATCACAGTAATTTTGCAAACAGCCTGGTGGGTCTTCTATCTTGGGATATTCTTGCAACAATGGGAAAGAAGGCATAATGTTTAATGGCTGTAAAATCAGGTTTCTCGCATGCAAAATCCATGCCCAGACTCTCTTCTAATACTCTACTTTGGCTTCTGCTTGAGTAGTCATTCCAGAGCAGCAGAAGTTTATGAAACATGGGAACAGAAGAGGTCATTCTGGAACATATCCTTATGGGAAGGAAAGTGGGTCAGGATTTTCCACCCTAGATTTCAGAGCCTTTGCTTGTTGACTGGTGCAAGTTTATTGCTCTGTGCTGTAGCTTAGCAGTGTCTTTATATGATGTATAGGTATTTGCAGGGATAAATAAAACCAAATTTTTTTTTCCCTGTAATCCAGAATCAGTTGGGAACACCCCAGAATCCAGCTGCAAGTAACCCTCTTATAGCCTCTCATAGGTTGTTCTGCTTTACGTTTTTTTTTTGGGGCTACAGATCATGGTCTTGTTGTTACATAAATTTTGACCAAGTCAATACATTTTTCTTTCTAATGTAGAATATAGAAACATTATTGCAGACCTGCCATTCTGCAAACCTATAGAGCCCAGGGGATGAGCTCTGGCCTGGGCTGTGCTACATAATCTTACGAAGTCCGGCCGTGACTTCATGCCTGTTGTAGCCTCCATGCTTTTCCTTGGGATGCTGATGGATTTGATAGAGCACTTGGGATCCTTTCCCTTGACAGGCTGATAAAAACCTGGCTTTCACCCCAGTGCATCATTTCATGGCCCTCTCCAAAGTGCTTTTTTCTGTAGGCCAAGCCATGCATTTGCATGATTTTAAACCTCCTCAAGGAGAAGGAATGAACCTGTAGCCTTTTCTCCCAGGAATGCAGGATCAGAAATGCATTTGGGGTTCATTTTACCAAAGCTCTGGGAAAAGATGGTGGGTGTTTTCTAGCACTGTTCTTATAGAGAACAGTTTTGGTTTATAGATTGTTGCTAAACTGCTACAAAATTGTACATAAAAGTAAAGAGCAGTTACTTTTTTAAGCATAATGTTTCTTTTCAGGGATGTCCCTGTAGACATAGCGTTACTAGGTTTCAAGTTTTAAAGAAACTGATGTTTAATAGCTTGCATTTTGCTGTCACCCTAATGGAAAGATGTAAGTACTTCACAAACCTGAGGAGAACCAGAGCTTGCCTGTTTTGAGTGGAAAAATAGGATATCTTTACAACCAGAGAAACCAAGCTGTGAGACCATAGAGCAACTCAGTGTTCCAACTCATGACCAAACACGACCAGGAGACTTTCTGTCATATCCTAAGCATATTTCAAGGTCCCAGGATGTCTGGGTTGAAACTAGTTCAGCTCTTAGACTTTTCTTTACCTTTTTGCTAGATAATGTAGTGATGCTCGACACAGGAAGGGGCTACTTCGTGGGTATGGATTTCCTTGCTGCAAAGAGGTTATTTTTCATAGAAATTAGCTCTGCTGCCTTCCATTGCAGGTCTTTAGTGTAGTATATAGATTAAGGAAAGGCTTCCAAGTTTGGGCTGTGTAGGCTTAGCTGTGGTCTTTACTGTTTATCCTTTGGACTGTAAGGTAGGGGGAAAGAGAAAAGACTTTTTTTAAAAGAAAAGCTGAATTCCCTTTTTCATGTTTCTCATGCAATTTAATTGCATTTCTGGGTTTCATAACATGACAGGCATGAGAATGACAGCTCCGGTAATGAAACAGGGAAACTTTAATATGGCTATGAAGATAAGATAGTTTGGAAATGCACAGAAAACAGCACGTTCCCAAGCCGAGAAGGAAACCAGAGCTGGGATTAGATAGGTGCCTCCGAGAAATAAAGGTGTGCAGAAACACAGACAAACTTTTCCACTTATCTTCCTTAAAACTGAAGGTAAATACAGGTATGAAGTTAAAAGGGAAGGGTCGTTAGTTACACATTAGCTTGTTTACATCATCTAATTTATAGTTATAAAGTGATTCAAAGAAGTGGAGCTGAAGAGTTTTTGTGCTTAAGCTGTTCTGTGAGCAACAGGTTCATGTGTGCTGGGCAGGAAGCCTAGATGCTTTTAGGGCAGCTGTCTTTGCAAATTAAGACGTTTCTAATGGGTGAATCTTGGTGTGAAGATTGTAAAATTGAAGATTTTAGGCTAAAAGAGGGCTAATTTTTAGAGGCCTAAAGCAAACTTCATTTTTTTTTTTCTCCTATCCAAAAGGCTGTGGAAGAAGAATGAGAGGGAAGGGGTTGTGTGTGTACTGTTATATATGAGTTGCAGTTGGATCTGCTGGAAGGATGACAGGAACCAGTGGGAGAGAAATAGATGCAGGAACTGAAATGGCTGAACTTTGTGGCTTAAATAGAAGAAAATGAGAAGGTGATTGCTCAGATTAAGGAAATGAGTCGAATGTCTTTAGTCTGAGTCGTTCTCATCACCCCTGCTGATCCTTTACAGCTCTTCCCAGGTACTAATGGGATGTGGTTGCACTTCGACCTGTGGGAATGGCAGGTTTCCTTGAACTGTGGAATTTCTCTAGAGCTTTCTTATTTCCCTGCTCACAAGAAGTGCTCGAGTGAATTTCAAGCAGCATATAAAAAAATATACAATGCAAGCAAGCTATTGCAGCAGGTAATAATGCTGAAAGCCTGAAAGAGCTGGCGATAAGTTCATAATTAGCATATATCCTAATTGCTAAGGAGTTTCAGGATTCTCTGCCTGCCTGCCACCGCTTCATCGGCTCGTCAGCTTTCAGCAGGAGCCCTGTTTCTGCTACAAATGGTATATACGCTTCGTTAGTGTCCCTGCCAGCACATGCTTCTGGAGGACCTTTCCTGCTATAAATAAACATGGCCAAATTTGACAAGCTGGGCTCGGTTGCCTTCTAAAGTGCCTACTAGGAATGGACTGCTGAAAACTCCGTGGAGTTGTCTTGGTTCAGAAGAGCCCGTGAGGAGTTATTTTGGTAAGGCAGTTAGTTGAGTTTAGCACCTTCGACTAAGCAGTAGAGTTCTAGCAGGGCTATTTTGCCTCCTTAAATTATTTCTTCTGTTTTTTTATTTTTTTTTTTTTTTTTTTTTTTTTTTTTTTTCAAACCTGACTACTCCAGGAACGGAGTCTAGTAGAACTTGTTTCCCAGCTGAGGGTGCATGAAGCACTGAGGAAGACTGATAGCACTAATCCAATTTCAAAAGCAACAATTAAAAGTCTTGTTTTAAAAGCACCTGCTTTTTTTTTAGGGAATATTTTTCTATGCAATACTTCTGCCTAATTTAAAGCAGGGAGTACAGGAGACTTTTTTGTAGGTGGCATCCCTTTTGAGCTTCTGCAGATAGTTCTGTGAAATGCTGCATTTCACTATAGTTGTGATGGCAAAGAAGAAGATATTTCCCTTAAATTTAATGCTTCTGAAAGCTAATCAGCAAGTATCTTTTGGTGACATTATTAGAAGAACTGAGCTGTAAAAATCGGGAAGTTTCCTGACATGTTAATATTCCTTTATTTATATAAATATATATTCTTATCCCTCTCTTTTCCTGTCTCTTGCTGGGAATTAATGGTCTCTTCTTTCTCTGCTCCCTCCATGCTGGGAGCGTTTGCTGGCACAGAAGTGTCCCAGGCATCTGAATTTTATGAACAGGATCCTAACGCGTGTACGTAATGATCCTTTTAATATGGCAGCAGGCAGCAGAAATAGAATCATGCAGTAGGTTAGAATGGCATTACTGGGGGGGCCTGAAATTCAGATAAAACATGCTTCCCCATTTACCTGTTTACACTTATGGTCATTTTCCAAGGTTTTATTCACTCTTTTTGCTATCTTTAGGCCAAATATAGGAATAACTTTTTGCCCCCATGAATTGCAGGGACTCTTATGTCTTCTTTCTAGCCAGCCTTGGGTTCACACACGTTTTTCCTGGCACTGAACTGATAGGGGATGCTCCTTTTTTCTTTTCTCATTAGAAATGCCTACTATTAAATGCAAACTTTGTGAAAAACAATCAGGTCAAACGGTTATTTTTGTTACTTTCCTCTTTTCCCCTTCTTTCTGAGGCATATGGCAGTTTCCTTTTGTGATGATTAGGAATATGACTGGTTTATAAAACCCAGGCATTTTGACATTCATTTCTGACCGCTAGTGCATTCCTATCATATCCACTTCTCTTTTCAACCTATCGTGTCCTTATTTAAACATGTCTCATGACCTTGCTGCAAAGACCTTCCTGAAAACATCAAGTTTGAAACCAAACCTCGGAGAAGGTAGCCGTGTTGTTCCAGCTGTCTCCATGAGCTGAGTATAATCCAGAGAAATCCAGTAAGAGAAGTTATTTTTTTAACAAACCACTGCAGCCTGTTCTTCTTGACTTTTCCTTGCAGCTGAGCGTGCTCTAGATACCATGAATTTTGACGTGATCAAAGGAAAACCCATTCGCATCATGTGGTCTCAGAGGGATCCCTCCTTGAGGAAGTCGGGCGTTGGGAATGTCTTCATTAAGAACCTGGACAAATCCATTGATAACAAGGCCCTTTATGACACATTTTCGGCGTTTGGGAATATTTTGTCCTGCAAGGTGAGCGGTGGTTGCTTTGTCCAGTTCTATTACATTGGTGAAAAGGCCAGGTATGCTGAACACAGAGGGAGGGATGGAATTTCTAAAAAGACAGAAGTGACCAAAAGGCTGAGGATCACTGAGATGGTCAGTTTCGAGGATCCAGATGTGCTAGTTGGAAAGAGTGAGTGTCTTTGACCTTGGCTGCGATGTCCTCCCCACGTTGGCGTTGGGCGCCAGCACGGGGAAGGCGGAGGCGCGTGTCCCGTGAGCTGACTCTTCCCTTCCCCGTGTGCAGGTGGTGTGTGACGAGAATGGCTCTAAGGGCTACGCATTCGTGCACTTTGAGACCCAGGATGCTGCCGACAGAGCCATCGAGAAGATGAACGGCATGCTGCTCAACGACCGCAAAGTGTGAGTGTCACAGCCAGCAGCAGCAGCGATCGCATGAACCCTGAGGCCTCTCGGTATTAACAGGGACACACAAGGCACTGGTTCTCCTGGCCCGAGCCTTGGGCTGCCACCTCTCCACTCCAGGGCTGGTGAGTGACCCTGCCCAAGCCACGGCCTGCTCTTTCTCCGTTCCAGGGCTGTTGGGTGGCCCTAGCCAAGCCTCGATCCGCTGCCTTTCCTAGCGGGATGGGGGGTGGTTCTGCAGCCACTTCTCCCTCCACTGCAGAGCTGGGTGGGCATCCTTGGCTTCTTCTCTGTCACAGACCAGCTGATTTTTCTGATTGATCTGTGGCCTTTTTGTCCTTCTATTTTCCTCTCACTCTCCCCTTTCCTACTTCCTACTACACACTATTTTTTTTAACTTCACTGAAAATCACACATACTTTTGTTTCCCATATTGAAAACAACCTGCTTATGTGGTTTTTTTTCCCCTTTTTATCCCCCTTAGATTTGTTGGGAGATTTAAATCCCGGAAAGAGCGGGAGGCTGAGTTAGGAGCCAAAGCAAAGGAATTCACCAATGTTTATATTAAAAACTTCGGGGATGACATGGATGATGAGAGACTAAAGGAGCTCTTCAGCAAATATGGTAAATACAGAAACACTTTCTAATGCAGCTATAAATTTCATAACTCATATTAATCTGACAGTGTTGCTACCATCTATATTACCTTCACTTGGCTCATTCTGAGGACCAATAGGAAGTATTGAGATGTGGCTCCTGAGAGAGGAGGCTTGAGCTGTTATATGGAGTTGAATAGCCGTGAAATAATTTTGTATTTTGTTTTACTAACCCTCTCCCTTTGCAACAGGTAAAACTCTGAGTGTTAAAGTGATGACGGACACCACTGGAAAATCCAAAGGCTTTGGCTTTGTGAGCTTTGAAAAGCATGAGGATGCCAACAAGGTAGGAAAAACTCTTATGTGGCTTGGTTATCCTTGGAGAAGAAACGCTTACCTGGGTTACCCTAGGAGCCTTTTACTTCTTACTGAAATGAGATAAAACTCTACCTGAGACCTAACCTCATCTAGGTTTTGAGGCTGAAAACCTTTTGCACTTCACTTCCTTGCCATTTCTCCAGATTATCAGATCCATACAGAATACAGTAGCATAATAAAGAATATAATTGCTGAAAAGACACTATAGTTGGGAGCTTTGGTGGAAGGAAGATATCTGGAATAAGAGAGCAGCTTAGAAATGTTCTTTTCCCAATAATATGGCCAAAATTTGGCGCTAACTAAGAAAGGCTGGGGAATTTCTAAATTGCTGCTGTTAGGCAAGCACTTACAGTGAGGTTGTCAGCATAGTCTCTCCTGGTAACACAGGCTAAAGACAAACTCAGGTTATGCAAGAGTGACACAAAGATCATGTGGCAGCCTTGGCTTATTGGTTAGCAGACAGGGATGTGCTCTTAACTGGATCAGCTACTGCCTTGTTTTTAAAAGCTAACAAATTTATTTTTGAAACTTTCACCCAGGCAGTGGAAGAAATGAATGGAAAGGATGTCAATGGGAAAATGGTATTTGTAGGCCGAGCACAGAAGAAAGTAGAGCGCCAGGCAGAACTGAAGAGGAAGTTTGAGCAGCTAAAGCAAGAGAGACTCAGCCGGTACCAGGTAAGTCTGTTCCTCTTCTGAATTTAAGTATTGGTGCTGTCAGACTTTGGAGAGTTTCACAAAGAAAGCTACTCATCCTGTGGGATTTTCATCCTACAAGTTGACGATGGGGTTGCTTTTAAGCTGGATTTGGAGGCAAAGGGAACATCAGAGCGTAGTCTAGAGGATGAGATAAGATGTTTGGGGCACATGAGAACTTTTGTGATGCAGGTTCCTTTGTGTTCACGGAGGATACCTGGAAGGATGGAGAGAAACAGCACAACCTGTGTTGCACTAGAGATTGCATCTGAATCTTTCCCATTCCTTGCTGCTAGGAAAGCAGAGGAAATCCAGGCGGGCTCCCTTCCATCACAGTGGGACTTGTCTCTACACCTTTGCAACATCTATTGTCTTGAGTTTTGGGGGTACAAAAAGGAAGTTATGCTAAACTGACAGTTCTTAGCAGGCTTGGGAGATGTATTAACAGTCAATGTACTCAAGATTTCTCCTTGTTGATACGCATGTCTCTACCGTTCTTTCCATTCTAGGGAGTTAACCTATACATTAAAAACCTAGATGACACTATAGATGATGAAAAACTGAGGAAGGAATTCTCACCGTTTGGGTCAATAACAAGTGCTAAGGTATTCGGGGGCTTTGGGGATATTTGGATTTTAAAATGTCGAGGAGAAACTGTTATCTGGCAAAGGATTCAAGGGCAGCTCTTTTATTCCCTTGATTATTCGACTTCTGAGAATATCTGGACTAGTAAATACGTAGCTTTCAGCAGATCAAGGTAGGATTTTACTAATAACTGTCCCCAAAGCCTCACCAAAGCCTCACCAAAAGAGGAGGCAGGAAATGGCCAACATGCTTAGATGAGTCGAGCATGAAATGGCGCTTGCCTGTGTTCCCCTATGTGCATTAAAGGGCTGCACCTGATCTTTCCCATTCCTTGCTGCTAGTGCAGGCCTGGGGACATGTGGTGCTTACAGAAAAGCAGAGCAAATCCAGACAGGTGTGTTTGCTTTCTCTGAATACTTGTCCCTACAACTCTGCAACAGTTCTCCTACACAATCTGATTTTTGGAGAGTCTTGGTGGAGAAAAAACACGGACTAAGTTCTTATAGTGCTTCATTAGCAATTGATGTTTACTGCAGGTGATGCTGGAAGATGGACGGAGCAAAGGATTTGGCTTTGTCTGCTTCTCCTCCCCAGAGGAAGCCACAAAAGCCGTGACAGAGATGAATGGGCGAATCGTGGGCTCGAAGCCGCTGTACGTTGCGCTTGCACAAAGGAAAGAGGAGCGAAAGGCTCATCTGACTAACCAGTACATGCAACGCATTGCTGGCATGAGAGCCCTGCCTGCCAACACCATCATTAACCAGTTTCAGCCTGCTGCTGGGGGATATTTCATGCCTGCTGTGCCCCAGGTAAGCAGAGCTCAGTTAGGTGGTTTTCTGGATGCTCTAATCTGCCTTGCACCTTGGATGGTTTGACTGCAGTAAGCCCGTTGAGCCTGTTCTGTGCCTAGCGCTGAGCAAGCAGCTCCCAATGAGAGGTGCAGAGTTGATGCAGCTAATTCTGTGGCTTCTGAGCAGCCTGCTCCTAGGTGAATCAAGTGAGCCCTGGGAGCAGCTGCCAAAACGTGTTGGAAATGAGGTTTGTTACTCACCTAGGCGCTTGTCTCTGCTCTCCTCAGGCTCAGAGCAGACCCACTTACTATGCACCCAACCAAATGACGCAGATGAGACCTAACCCACGCTGGCAGCAAGGAGGAAGACCTCAAGGTGAGCTGGCCAGAGGCAGCGCTCTGCTCGCACGGCCCTTTTGGCTGGGTTTTCCAGCAGCCACAGCTGGAATGCTCCCTCTTCATGGACAGCCCTGACATGCCGCTGGTAGCCGCCTGTCCTTGTCGCCAGTTGGCTCCTTTTTGAGGATTTTGCCTCTTCTCTCCCATTAGGCTTCCAGGGAATGCCGAATGCCATGCGCCAGTCCGGACCGCGGCCGGCCCTGCGGCATCTGGCTCCGGCTGGGAACGCTCCCGCCTCCCGGGGCCTCCCTGCCGCTGCGCAGCGAGTTGGTAAGGACTCTGCTCCCAGGCTCCTTCCCTCCCTTGCAGGGAAGGAGGCTGCTATTAAGAGCTGGCTACTGTACAGAGCAGATGGCTGTTAAATGTGGGTAAGAGAAGGTTCCTTTGAGCAAGGGCAGTGACAGCACCTGAATCTTTCCTATTCCTTGCTGTGCAGTGCAGGTTTTGGGGACAGTTGGTGCTACAGCAATGCAGTGGAAATCCAGACGGGTTTCTTTTCTTTCACCTGGAACTCATCTCTACAGCTCTGCAACATTTACCGCTCAGAAAATGACTGATTTTGGGGGGAAGCTTTCAGAGTAAAGCATCCAAATTCACTTTTTTTTTTCTGGGGAATAAGTAGAAAATGTCTTAAAAGCAGGTGTAGAATCAATAACTTAGCATTAGGAGAGGGTATTTTTTTAAGAGACTAATAGGTTGATGGAGAACATTTTCTTAACCAGTATTACTTTGCAGTGTGTAGTTAATGCCAGACATCCCGATTCGCTTGCAACCCAAGTTTGCTTGCAAAAAATCTTTGCATCTTTTTGCAAAAAAATCTTTGCAAAAAGATCTTGCAAAAAGTTTTGCTTGCAAAAAAAAATCCCAAATTTGCTTGTAACGTGCACGTGCTTGTGGGGGTGAAACTGTGGCCTACTCTTCCTTTCCAGGCGTTGCCTCTGCAGCACAGAATTTAGCTCCTCGTCCACCAGTGGCTGCCCCCGCTCCCCGAGCAGTTCCTCCTTATAAATACGCCTCCAGTGTCCGCAGCCCCCACCCAGCCGTTCAGCCTTTGCAGGTAACAGCGCTCTGCTCTGCGAGCTCTGGGCAGGTAACTGCAGCCCAACAGGTTTTACACAAAGTGCTTTCACGGAAACTCCAAGCTACTTTCTTTTATAACCCAGGCAGAGAAACTAATTTGAAAAACAGCACTTTTCCTCACATATCTCTGCTGGAGGCAACTTATTTGATTTATATGTCTTATTCTAAGCCCTTTTTGATCCATAATTTGCTGTAAGGTTGTTCTTGGTGGTCTAGTCTCACACTTTTGCTAACTTTTCTTTGTGCCTTCACTGATGGTGAGAATTTTGCTGCTTGCCTCTCCAGACACCACTGCACTCTCCAAAAAGCAGGCGTGAGTGGTTTTCTCCATCATGACACCTGTCTTGGTGGAAGGTCCAGTTTTTATAATCCAGGATATTTTTCAGACTTTGTGGCTCTGTGACATGTTCTAGTTTGTGAGAGCAGGATGTGGGGCGTGTTTGCCTGAATCCTCCCATTTGCCCTCCTGTAGGCACCTCAGCCTGCAGTACATGTGCAGGGACAGGAACCACTAACGGCCTCCATGCTGGCTGCTGCCCCTCCCCAGGAGCAAAAACAGATGCTGGGTAAGTGGAACTCCTGTTTTTACAGACCACATCTGAGCTGGGATGATCCTCTCAGCCTTTGGAGAACATTTGATTGAAACGGGCCTGTCTGAGCTGGCTTTTTTGTTCTTGTTCTAGGGGAACGTTTGTTCCCTCTGATTCAAGCTATGCACCCCAGCCTTGCAGGGAAGATCACAGGAATGCTGCTAGAGATTGACAACTCGGAGCTGCTGCACATGTTAGAGTCTCCCGAATCCCTTCGGTCAAAGGTAAATTGCCCTGTTCCTTCAGAGGGCACATGGATTGGGACACGTTGGTCATGATAACAGTTCTCCCTTGCATCGCTTGTCCACCCAAGGTGGAGGAGGCCGTTGCAGTGTTGCAGGCTCATCAAGCCAAGAAAGAAGCTGCCCAGAAGGTGGGCGTAGTTGCTGCTACCTCTTAAACCAGGAAGACTGGTGAGTGTCCCAGTTCCCAGCTTCCATTAAATTTCCCAAATCAGGTTAAATAAAGCATTATTTGTAATCTACACATCACTTCTTACAATCTTACATCTGCACTGTTTTTAATCTACTCCTTGAAAGACTGAATTTTTTTCCAGACAAGAATCATTTAAAATAGAAGCTGTGGAAGTGCACTTTAAAGATCTCATTATGTTTAGGCATCAAAAAGGTGTTGCATGGGTTCCTGAAATGCTCCTAGTAGCTGACATATCAAGGAAGGATAATAAGGTATGATGAGGTTTCTGAAGCTCCTAATCCAGAAAATAAAGACAAAAGATGCACAAGATGATCCAGTGACTTCAGGACTAGATAGACTGCTAAAATAGGTTGCTAGCATCAATTCCATATCCTGAGAATCATCTGTCTTCTATATATATATATTAAAGGACCCATGTCAGGAATGTCTGTGTCTGTCTACTGCTGCTTCTCATTTGACTTTTAAGGCTTTTAATTCTTTGAAATTTTGGGGTTTTTTTCTGAGTTGTTCCAGCAATTGGCTTCTTCACTAAACAATCTGAATATCTTATCAAATTAGCAATGGATGCTGTCTAGAATTAGAAAACAATTTCTGTTCCTTTCAAGCTTTACTGGAGTCCTTAATGGTTCATAATGCTGGATAATTCACTAGCCTGCTGGGAAACTGGTGTGTGCAGGTAACTGGTCATTGTCTTTTCTTACAGGATGCAAAGAAGCCAAATAACCCCTTCATAGACATCAGCTCGAGATATTTAAAGATTCTTCACTGTCCTGCAGATTTCAGTGCCATGCATCATATCACATAATTAAACTGCATTTTTTTTGTAAATCTTTAAAATACTATTTAAAAAGCCAACTCTACGAAGCGTTAGATTTGCAAAACCAGAATTAAGTTTGCAAAGCTTCTCTGTGGACAGGACCTTTGTCTTTTCTAAGCAGGACACCAAGGATTTCTGATTGAAAGGTTTTTGTGATTTTGGTTTTAACTGAACAATCCAGCTTGGGAAGTCTGGAAAGCATTTATCAATAAAGAAATCAAAACTTTCACTCCTCTTGTCTTTTTCCCCCTCAATTTTAGAGTAAGCAACAGGTCCTTAATTCCCCAAATAAAGGGGTGAGTAATTGGTGTTTAAGGGGAGAGGAAAGTGAGTTTTAATGCTCATTAACTTTGTGCCAGGTTGAGGGCACTAAAGCACTGGCTCACACAGAAGCAGCCAGTGGAGCAGCAGCCTTTTTGGGGCCAATTTATCGTGGCTGGAGGAGAGTAAATTCTGTCTTGTTCTCAGTATATGTTTGTTAATGTGTGGCTATTCACAGCCTGGGTGTTTTACACTCCACAAGGTGACTGTGTTGGGGGTGACCTCGCTCAATGCTTTGTAAACGCTTGGGGCCTTCTCTAGAGGCTAAAGCAGCCCTGCCACAGCGGCTCATTCCCTACGAGGCGGCTTAATAAAGCATTTAATTACTATTTAATTAATATTTAATATTAAGAGGCCTGTGGGCCCCGCGGCGGCGCGGGGCCGCGCGCGCCGCCGGGGCGGAGCCGCGCGGGGGCTGCCGGGAGGCAACATGGCCGCCACCAAGCGGGTGCTCTACGTGGGTGAGCGCCGGGAGCCGGGGCGGGGGGGGGACCGGGACCGGAGGGGGGCGGCCCCGGGAGCGCGGGGGGGGGCGCCCGGTAACGCGGCTCCCGCAGGCGGCCTGGCCGAGGAGGTGGACGAGAAGGTGCTGCACGCGGCCTTCATCCCCTTCGGCGACATCACCGACATCCAGATCCCGCTCGACTACGAGACCGGTGCGTGGCCGTGCCCGCCGCGGGGGAACGGGGCGCCCCGCCGGGCCGGCCCGGGGGCTCGCGGCCTGGTCCGGGGCTCCTGGTGACAGCCCAGGGCCCGCTGGCCACCCCAGGGCTCTCACACTGGTTCGGGGGCTCCCCGCGCGCCCCAGGCCTCAGCGCTTCCCTTTTGCACCGGCCACCTGCTCCCCAGGCTCCTATCCGCATCCCAGGGCTCATCCCTTCCTCCCGTTGCCTCTCTCCTTGTCCCAGGGCTCATCCCTTCCTCCCGTTGCCTCTCTCCTCGTCCCGGGGCTCATCCCTTCCTCCCGGCGCCTCTCTGCTCATCCCAGGGCTCATCCCTTCTTCCCGGCGCCTCTCTCCTCGTCCCGGGGCTCATCCCTTCCTCCCGGCGCATCTCTGCTCATCCCAGGGCTCATCCCTTCCTCCCGGCGCCTCTCTCCTCATCCCGGAGCTCATCCCTTCCTCCCGGTGGCTCTGCCCGCCTCCCCCTGCTCCCCTGCTCTCCGCCTGGGCTCCCCCGTCCCCGCCGGGCTCCCTCCGTCCCCGCTGCCCGTGACTGCCCCTTCTCTCCGCAGAGAAGCACCGAGGATTCGCCTTCATCGAGTTCGAGCTTGCAGAGGTGAGAAAGGGGCAGATCCGCTGGGGATTTCTTCTTCCCCCTCTGGCATTTTGGACCAGCTCCTGCTCTGGTTGAAGGCAGCAGAAGCCTTGTTAATTGAAGCAGGCGCAGGTTACCTGTTGCAGACACCAAGTTGACTTTCTTGGCACGTTCCTGCCCAGTTTCCCTGATTTCTTTTGGGCTGAAGTGAAGCCACTTCAAAACAGCTTCCCCTAGAAGCTGAGCTTCACTTGAGCTTCACTTGAGCTTCCCCTAGAGCTCAGTTTTCTTCAGCAGCTGCAGGCAGGTTTCCCAGATGGGCTGGAGCACGGGGAGTCATGGCATATCCCGGGCTTCATTAGAGGAGATCTCTCTCCTTCTCTCCCAGATAGTGGTGTAGGAAATGAGGTAACTCAGTCAGAAGAAAGCGAAGAAGTGGCAGTAACGTTGTTTTTTCCCTCTTTGTGCAGGATGCCGCCGCAGCTATCGACAACATGGTACAGTCGCTGCTCCCGCCCGCGCGCGGTCGCGACAAGCGCAGAGGACGGGGTGTTGCTGTCCTCCTGCCAGCAGCCGGGCACATGGTTTCCCCTTGTCTCCCGCCTCCGTGTGCCCGCGAGCACGGGAAGGGGAGCGCGGCGGCAGCTGGGGACCAGCTGGGGATCTGGTTCATGTGTATAAGGACATGAAGGGGGAATGTAGGGAGGAAGGGGCCAAGCTCTTCTCAGTGGTGGCCAGGGATGGGACAAGGGGCAATGGGTGTAAGTTGAAACCCAGGCAGTTTCTTCTCCATGTGAGGAGAAACTTCTTTACTGTGAGGGTGTCAGAGCCCTGACACAGGCTGCTGTGGAGTCTCCTTCCCTGGAGGTCTTCAAGACCCACCTGGATGCCACCCTGTGCTCTGGGTGTCCCTGCTGGAGCAGGGGGTTGCACTGGATGATGCCTAGAGGTCCCTTCCAACCTCAACCATTCTGGGCTTCTGTGGAGATGACGGCAGCCAAGAAGAACGGCACCTAAAGGTGCCTGCAGGATGGGGTGGGTGCGAGGAGCAGGACTCGAGCGCTGCCGCGACCCATGTCCCTGCTTTACTGGCGGGTTTGCTGCTGCCTGGGGGCTGCTTTGAGACCCTCACTCCAAAATCGGGACAAGGGAGAGGAAGGAATCTCTATTTCTTTGACCTCTGCAGGGTTTCGGGGGAGGCAAAACGATTTCTTTACCTGTTGATGGGCGTTATTTTTTGCTTTTTCTTTTCCTCTGCAGAATGAATCTGAGCTCTTTGGCAGGACGATCCGTGTGAACTTGGCCAAACCCATGCGGATTAAAGAAGGGTCATCAAGGCCTGGTGAGCTGGTGCTCAGGAGAGGAGAGCAGCCCGGCGACCAGCCCAGGACCCTAGTTCCCTGCCCTGACCCTTCCTTTGGCTTTCGCAGTCTGGTCGGATGACGAGTGGCTGAAGAGGTTTTCAGGGAAGACTCTGGAAGAGAACACAGAGGAAGGGGCAGCAGCGGCCCCCAAACCAGAAACGCAGGAGGTAGGGGAAGGAAATGAGCCAAACGAGGGGCTCTGCTCTACACAGAGGAGGGAACGGTAGCTGGAGCTGCTCCCCCCATGCCCATTGAATGTCCACATGGGGTGGAGGAGTGGTTACTTCAGATCCCTCTGTATGTTGTGAGCTCTCAGAAACTTGAAGCCAAGAGCGGCAGCATTCCCAAAAACTTGGTGAACCTCAAAGGATTTGCAGCTCTGTGCCCTGTCAGTGTTAGGCCGTCACTGCTCCCTTTCTTGGGGGAGTTTTGAAGCCATTGCTCCCTTTCTTGGGGGAGTTTTGGGCCCTGCTGAAGGCTGAGAGCCTTCCTGGAGGGAGAACACAGGAAAAGTTATTTTTCCCTTTTCCTGCGCAGGGTGAACCTCCTGCTAAGAAAGCCCGAGCCAACCCTCGGGTTTACATGGACATCAAGATTGGCAACAAACCCGCCGGGCGGCTCCAGATCCTCCTGCGCTCTGACGTGGTGCCCATGACCGTGGGTGAGGAGAGCGTCGCCTTCCCCGGGACGCTGTTTCGCGCCGCGGCTCTCACCTCTCCCCCTCTCCCAACAGAGAATTTCCGCTGCCTTTGCACCCACGAGAAAGGCTTTGGCTTCAAAGGGAGCAGCTTCCACCGCATCATTCCCCAGTTCATGTGTCAGGCTGGCGACTTCACCAACCACAACGGCACTGGAGGCAAATCCATCTACGGGAAGAAGTTTGACGACGAGAACTTCATTCTGAAGCACACGGGGCCAGGTAGGGCCAGGTACAACAGTCAGGAGCATCGGATGAGCTCCTCTTGCTACAAACAATAAAAAGAGCAGTAATTTCTAATGCCCTTTCCATCTCTCAGGGTTGGGAGTGCTGCTCTCTGCCTAATCAGTTCCCACCAGCTTGTATGGAGCTGAATTTGCAGAGATCCTCGTGAACCTGGCAGCATTTTGCAGGGCCCAAGGATGCATTTTGGGGAGGGGTCGCTCACGGCTTCGGTGCTGGAGCTTTTCCCCCCGCTGCTGGGAATGACCCCGGCCTTTGTGCTCGCAGGACTGCTGTCCATGGCCAACTCTGGCGCCAACACTAACGGCTCCCAGTTCTTTATCACGTGCGACAAAACGGATTGGCTCGACGGGAAGCACGTGGTGTTCGGCGAGGTGACGGACGGCATGGACGTGGTGCGGGAGATCGAGGTGGGAGCCGGTGGCGGGGCGCTGCCCGCCTCCCCCCTGCCCCTGAGCCTGCAGCTCCTGGCCCCCTTTTCCTCTTTCCTTCAAGGCTCAGGGCACCAAGGAGGGGAAGCCGAAGCAGAAGGTGATCATCTCGGACTGCGGGGAGTGCCCGTGACCTCGGCGCCCGGAGCAGGCGGCCGTCCTGCTCGGGCCTGGAGGGGCTGGAGAACCGGCTGCATCGGGAGGCCCCTGAGCTGCTCGTTCAGCCCAGATGCAGTCACGGCCGGGGCACCGCTCGGCTCCGGGCTGCCCGTGGCCACAGGGCGGGCGCCTGTGTCGCGGGCAGAGTGGAAACCGTCTCGGAAAACGCTGTGCCCGAACCCGCGACAGCTCCGGGCTGGGCAGGACCAGTGCTCTGGTGGGTGTCGCAAAGACTTTCTACTTGCTGCAAATAAAACTAGTTTTAAAAATATCGGGGCTCTGCGTTTGACTTCCCGCTGTGTGGGGTCGTTTCCCAGCATCGCTTCAAACTACTGAGAGCTGCGTTTGCATCTGTCCTTCTCAAATCCCGGAGAGCTGGTCTCATTCCAGACCCCATTCCTAATCCCAGAGAGCAGAGCTGGGTCTCATTCCATGATCTTCCTCTACCTGGAATCACCACCAGGCTCCCGTGGGGGAGCCTTGGGCCTCCGGCTCTGTAATATTTGCTCCCATCAGCAGAGGGAGGCAGGAGGCCGTGGCGGCCGCGATTTAGCAGGGAGAAGGGCTGGAAAAGCAGCGCCGGGAATGAAGAAGCTCTTTGGGAGAGGGAAGGAAGAACCCCGGAGTGTGGAGGCTGGGGAAGGGCCGGCGGGAGCAGGGACAGTTGGAAGCTCCGGGGCGCTCCTGGGAAGCGCCGGGGCGGCAGGACCAGCACGGCTGCAGCAGTGGCTGCTCGTTTTCGGCAGCCCAACTCATTACACCCCAGGAGAGTTCCCTTTTCCTGGGAAACAGCCCTTTGCTCTTGCTCACCTGCAACTTTCCCGGGCTCTTTGGGGTTTGGGAGGGCAAAGAGCACATCCTTTCCTAACAGAGCTCACTAGAGCGCGTGTTTCCAAGGGCTCTACTTTTGCTGGGGTGGATATATATCTATATTTGGGGCACTTCTCTGCACCAGCTCCGTTATTTGCTGTTCCCAAATCCCAGCAGATAAATACCAGCCCATGCAAACAGCGACGCACCGGGCCTGGCACATCCCCTCGCCGTGGCCTTACAGGCACCCGCGGACAATTTTAGCCGATCCTGAGGATTTCTCATTGCAAAATCATTTCCGCAGAACAGCGCACAGCCGTGCCATGACATTTATTAAAAAGCAAAGGGAAACAGCAAGAGAAACTCTGTGTTTACTTTCCAAACACGCATTTATTTTAAAACAGTGTCATAGCTCAATACAGCTTTTCTTTTTCTTCTTTTTTTTTTTTTTTTTTTTTTTTTTTTTTTTTTTTTCCCCCAAATTGCCTGAGTTTTTTAAAAAAAAATTGAAGTAAACAGGAGCGGGTCACCCAGCCAGCTACTGCGCTGGCCGGCAGTGTTTCCGCCGCGGGCCGGAGCCGGAGGCACCGGAATGCGGCTCCCGGTCACGGAGCAGCCTCCCCTGCCTGGGATCTCGCAGCCTCCCGCGAGCAAAATGCACCAGCCCCGACCCCGCCACAAACTCGCGCTCACCCTCCTATATATATATATAATATATATATATTTATATCTCTATATAAAATATATGTCTCGT